ACTGGACAATACCTGTTCATGATCTGTTCATTTAAAAATTTAAAGGCCATTTTTTGTTTCAAGAACTAGAAATGCTAAACTAAAATAGTGGTTATTTATTATGTATTAGTTATTAATAGCTATAGTTATTAGTAGCAGTTATTAATAGTAAATATTTTTAGTATGTTTTTCCAGTTCCTATTTGAGTTCCTTTTTTAGTTACTTTTAAGTAATTTGATGCATTTTTGAGTATAGAAATCAGACATTATTTCTTTAATCCTAAATTGTTTGTTGGTAAAAATTAGATGTAAATATATGAAGAGCTAAAATTTTTCTACTTAAAGTTGCAAGTTATTTTTTATTTTAAAACCAGGGAATAATTTTCCTGGGCATCTCAGTTTTCAGACAACCTTCATTATCATGAAAATGCATTTTATCCTTAACCAAAATAGTGAAATGAAGCTGAGATGTCAAATTATTGTCTTCTCATGCAGTTTTCTGAATATTGCACTATGAAACTTTTCAGACACTTCAATCATGACATGATAGCATGAACTTCTATTCAGCAAAAACTGCTATTTTTAAATGATGGTCAAGTCAAGTCAACAGTTTCCTTTTTGAAGGGAATTCTACAAGGTTAATATATAGCATTGATTCTGATCTAAAAGACTGAAGTTACATAGTGAGCAGAGGCAGTGGGAAACCATTATATGAATCTGGGGAATGTTGAAAAAATCTGACAATAGTGGTGGGAAAACCTCTTTGACTTGAACAGAAATTTTTCCTTGAATGAAAGCAAGAGATTTCGCTGTTGATCTCTGAATCCAACTTGTCCTAGGCCACAAGCTTAGCTCTCACCTTATCACTATTCTTTCTTCTGGCTCTTGAGCCAGATCTGCTAACAATGATGATTGGGAAAAGCTGTTGCAGCATTTTAAGAATCAAAAAATTTGCAATTATTTGCAACACTGTTTATCTACTGGTGTCATTGTCTATCCTGTTATATCATTCTCTAATAATACAGGCAAACCCCCCACATTTTCCTATTTCCATCAAAGGACTTCATACATTTTAATGCATTGAATCCTTAAATATCCTAAAACATAGGTTAATGACATCCCTGTTTTAAAGTTGAAAAACACAGAAATAGATCAGCATTTTTCAAGCCCCTGCAGACTGTAAGTCTCTCATAAAAAAATTAAACTATACAAAATCATTGACTTTTTTTGACAGTGAAGGTCATACTGAGTTGGTAGAGCTGCACTGCTTAACTGTGATAGTACAGGAAAATAAGAGGTCCACACCTTTGTCCTGCCTGTTCTCTAAAGTGATTCTAGGGCATGTAAAAGTTATGAAAATGCTATTAAATTGGCAACTGATCGACCATGTCTTCTTTGAACATAGAGAAATTTGAATTTTCCCACAATTATTTCATTTTTACTTGTAATAAAGTAACACATTAGCATGGCTAAACCTGAAATTGAAGCTTTATATGGACAGTTATCTGGCATCTAAGAGGGCTGTGGACAAAAAGGGGTTTTGGTTTACTGACTATGTTTTGACTATAAATAGAACAAGACAAGAAGTCTTCTTTCAGCTCATTCCTGTTAGCCAGATAAGTAAAGGTCCTCTGCTTTTTTAGCAGAACCCTTAAGCTTAGGAGAGCACACTTACCCCTTTCCCTGTCCCCATCTCCATCATACTTAGGAGTGCTTCTATTTTGGTCTATGTTTCCTTGTTCTAGAAAGACTGAGGGTAACCTTAATGATGCTACTGATCTTGGTTTGTAACTGGAATAGTATGGCCAGTCTTCGCGAATGAAGATTTGGGAAAGGTCTTTACCCTTCGAGCCTGCGCAGTGGATTTTTTAGGTGAGACACAGCGTGCGCTGAACTGAGCCCACCCTTTAATCCTAAGGTTCATCTGCCGGGGCCGAGCGAGCTTGGACAGTGGCAGTGAGGTCCTCAGGACATAGGTTTGTTTAGAGTGACCTTCTCTTAGATGGATGGCCTTACAGGGCTGACGAGCTCCATCTGCCCGGGGGAGTTTCCCTGACCGGGAATCGAACCTGGGCCGCAGCGGTGAGAGTGCTGTATCCTAACCACTAGACCACCAGGGGTCCCCCTAACTGGAATAGAATAGAACAGAAAAAAAAAAAAAAGACAAGACAACACTAACTGGACTAGAATAGACTAGGCTAGAAGGTCTAAACTCAGATTTTCATCTGATCAGAGGAATAGTGTTACGAGGAGCTGAACAGGAAAACTTTACTCTGTCAAAGGGATTCATCTCCTTCGGAGACAGATTATTAATAATAAGTTTAGACAGATGAAAGGAAGTTTTGTGCTAACATTTTTTGCTGCTTTTGCCTGGCTCAAATGTGCCAGATAACAACTGCTTCATTTTGGGGGGCTTCAAGTCCTGTTAAACTTCAAAGTGAGTTAGGGGAATTCAACACTTAAAAAAAAAAAAAAAAAAAAAAATTTATGCCCATAATTCTCCCCCGCTTCCAATTTTGAGCAGCTATGTGCACATCATCCGTTGTTAGCCAGGGAAGCCCACAAGGGAAGGCTGCCATTAACAGCTTTCCAACATTGGCATGACATGTCCACCACAGCCACCTGTTGAGTTTGGGAAGCAGGGCCCTGCAGCACTGCCCTGCATGGTGGGTCAGGTGCCAGGGCAGTGCCACAGCCCACACCATTGCCTTCACCAGGGCTCACATAGGCAGTACAGACGCTCCTCTGGTCAGCAACAGTGGTGGTTGGGGTTTGCATGCTGAAAACATACAGCTAAGTCCTGAATTTTAATCATGCCCACTTGTCCACTTCCTTGTTTTGATCCCTATAGGATTTTTTATCCTCTGAAACCAACAAGAAGATCATATTTTCCTTCAGTTTCTGAAACCCCATCATTTTTTCCAGACTTTCCATTTCATGCTGTTTGAATTTTATTAAGATCTTTTCACACAAAAGCACAGTACCAGCTATATGATGCCCCGAGGGATATGAAAGGCTGTTGCCGTAATGTCACAAAACTCTGGAGACAATTTATTTCTACCAGAAGCTCTTTGGAGGACTGTGGCTAAGGTTATAAAATGTCTTAAATGTTTACAGCAGGGATCTTGATCTCCATTGGAATTTAATACAAAACCTTTTTTTTTTAATCTATTAATTGGCACATCATGTTAACACTGATTAAGTAGTACCTGTCTACAGAATGAATTATATTTTCTTTACATCTTGCAATGAAGAAAACTGGGTTTTATTCCAGAATTAGGGATAATGTCAATATGGATAATATTAATTATGTATTTTTAAGACTATGACTTTCTTTTCAACACCTCAGTTGACCCTTTGTAAGTATTTCCACCAGGTATTTTCCAGAAGTACCTCTGTTTACTCTTTCTACCTCCAATACTTTTTATTCTTCCCAAACACAGGCATGCATAAGTTCTTTGTAGGAGGCTCACAGCAGCATGTCTCCTCCAGTGAACAGGGAAACATTTTGTAAGTGTTAATAAGATTTTATTTTCACTGGTCAACCTTGAAATCAAAAGGAACTGCTGAACCCCCAGCAGTCACTTATATAGCTCAACAGTCCTGGTAAGATGACTTTTGAAATAAAATTGTTTAGGAAACTGTATTCTAATTTGACAAAAAGATAAGTCTCATGAAAAAAATTATTCCATTTTCTAAAAGCTGTAATATAATAGTGTGTGTGTGCATGTAATATATCAGGAGATGTATATATATATATATATATACAAAAATTAATTAATTTTATGTGAAAATATTTTGTAAAAGTCAGTGTATGAATAATCATACAGAATGAAAATTCTAAAGATATGTTAGACTATTTGGGACATATTTTCATAAACTATTTTGTAATTCTGTATGTTTCAGACTTTCTGGGACCATGCTGAAGGTACCGAAATATTAACAAAATTCTATATTCTAAAAATAATATGAACATCCAAAACATTAAAGTATTCTGGTGTTTTAGGCAAATCTAAATTCTCCTATTGTTGAAGCATGGTATGCATTGGTGACTTAAGTCAACAATTTTCTGTCACAGATAACTGAAAATCTTTACTTGGAAGTATCAGCCCAAATAAAAAGGATTTTTGAAGTTCCATTTCTAAAATTGCAAGAAGTCTATAAAAATACAGAAATCAGATACTGCTAATATGATGGAACTACTAATATAAATCCATCAAATTGCAGCACTCTTTAACACCATATACACCCTCCAAAAATAATCTAACATTATTCTCTATTCTCATTTCCTGTATCACCCAGTACTACTCTTCTTCCTCAAAATAATACCCCACTGATACCACAGATAAGGATGACAGCAGTTGCTGTCTCAAAAGAAGAAAGTAAATTTTGTTTCTGGAGGATTTTTTTCGTTATTTATCTTCTTATATGACAGAAATACTGTTCTCATTCTCAAACAGACTTTTGTAGAATGGCTTTTGTAATTATCAACATAGCTTTTGATGTTGCCTCACATAAATGCACTGAGATAGTTATAATTTAACCCTTTTAATGCTGTCTTTCCATACAGCTTCTTTGTAATAATTAACCATAATAGAATTTTTAATTGATCAGCGTTCTTTTAAAATGTCAGGTTTTCAAAGTCATGACGTTCTATGTTCTTCTGGCATCAATTGATTAAAATAATTAAATTTATTTCCCACTCGCCAGTGCAGACATTTGGAAAAATGCTGGTAATAACTGACTCTATTACCTCAAGTTTTTATTCCATGCTAAAGCCTGCTTTTCACTATCCAGATGATGACTAAAACTAAATTTAAAGATTACATTCATGAACTTCTGCCCATCTCTTGGAATTTTTCTGTCTCCAATTATAAGAATAGCTGCAAATGTTTGGAATTTCAGAGTTTAACTACAAAAGTTGACATTTTCCGTTGTGAGATGTGTACTTTTTATAGTAGTTAGGAAAAATTACACAGCATTCATTTTTTTTCTTTCCATTTTGCCTAAATCTCCCTGCAGGATGTGTGACACAGGAGAAGGGCTGTTCACGTTTCAAACACGGGAAGGAGAAATGATATATCAGAAAGTCCATTCTGCAACACTGGCAATAGCAGAACAACATGAAAGATTAATGATGGAAATGGAGCAGAAGGCAAGGGTAAGGTCCTTTCACTAAAAAACTTTAAGCGTATAAAAATTGGTAATAGACGAAAGATTTATGGAGTAACAGCGGTCTGTGAATTCAGCTGCAGTGATGGTATTAGCCGTGTGGCTAAGACAGAACAGACTTTCAGATTTATGTCTTTTCATGGTCAGGTATCTTCAGCACATGTAAGACAATGATCTGTTGTTGGTGACTTTTTTGGAACAGTGGATACCATTAGACATGAGATCCATGGTCACCCTCTCTAATTGTGGCTCTGTTACTCAAAGATTAAGCCTTTGTGTGTTGGCTATCGATGAATGAGTGTTAATTGTACCTCATGGCCTCACAGGTGGAAAAAATACCACTATAAACACTTGCTAGGTGACAGCAAATGTGTTCGGTTTTTGTTAATGCCTGAAAGAAATTACTTTCCCTACATTATGATAAGCAGCAATACAATGTTAGTTCAAAAAGACTTATTTTAATATTAGTAGTTCAGAATTTCAAATTTGCACAAGCGATGTTTAAATGACTACTAGCGAAAAGTTTGGAGTTTTTTAAGACAGTAAGAAAAAAAGTTTTCTCTGTGTGCTTAGAAGTAGAAATGGTCTTTAATAATCGTTCTAGAAAGCTACCTTTCAACTGTGCTTTGAAAGTATCTTTATATTCACCAGAAAGGAAATATATGAGGAGGCCAGGGAACCTAGTCTGCACGCTTTTCTTCTCAGATGACCACATATCTTCTTCCCTGGAAAGGGATTTGAGGGTAATTGTACTATTTCCAGTGACTTTCTCTTCCTTCCTTCCCTTATGATCCTATCCCCCCACAATCCACAAGTGTCAAAATATTTTCTTCACAGTCGTAAGACAAAGATTCCTGCAAAGAGCAACCTTAGACCCCAGTGTTCAACTTCTAATTATTCCTCAGAGAAGTCTATCTTCCTCTATTCACTGAAAAATAAACCTGAAACCTGAAAAATACTTAGATTTCCGCACAAATCTCTTATGTTGAATGTTCCTCTCAGACTCTGCATGTCTGTAAGAAAAATCTGAGTTGAGAAGCCATAAAAAAGGCATTTTTTGGTGGTTTATGGAGAAAGATAGATGACTTTTTCCATAAAACTAGACAATGTAGGAGCATTTGCTGAGATGACAAAATTTGGCCAGAAAACACAGAAACAGGAGAGTTCACAATCAAGATTACAATAAGTTTAGGGATACAGGAGCAATTGCTGGAAAGCCTAACACAAGATGTAGTGAGTGTAAGTGCATGTGAAGTAGTAGAAGAGCTGGCAAGAAATGACTGAATTCTACTGGGCAAAAAGTGATTGAATAATAGTCAAAAAACATGAAAAACCATCATTATAAGTATGTTTACCTTTAAAGTGTCCACACCAGTAAGAGAAATTAGAACATTTTCATGCTGCCAAAGAACTTAGACCAGGATCATACAGGATTTTCCTTTCACGGAACCATCACTTTCAGTTCTTCCTGTCAATTATCAGCTTTGCTGCTTAGCAAAGCCATTTCCATTCTACCATCGGATGACTTCCTTAAAACCTCATTTATGAAGGCTGTGGCCATATGGTGCGTAATATCAAACTCCAAGAGCAGGTTGAGAAATAAAAATGACTCATCAGCCGCACAGTGTAAGATGTACTTGGCTCCTGAACGAGGCTGCACTGTGATCTGCAGAGGGAGATAAGTAGAGGCCCACATAGACTACTGTAGGCTGCATGGAAACTGTGGGCTTGTAAAACAGGCTGAAAAACCTGATTTTATCCTTCAACTAATAAGCTAATGTTAGCTTGAATTTAGAAGCTCTGCTGCTCCTGACTGACAGGGTCATCTGTGTCATCTGCAACATTTGACTTGTATTCATATTAGAAACAAATCCTGAAGATATCAAATAGACTAAGTATATGTTACATAGCTTTTATCAAGTATAATTGCTTCTCCAATATCTAATTCCAGCAGTTTCACCAAAACCTATGGATATTTTTTCCATAAAATCTGAAATTGAAATGCAGGTAAAAATATATTTTAAATCAGGGATTTAGCTACCATAACTGTCTTTCAGTGTTTTTTTTTTACTGGAGCCACCTTGATGAATTATATAGATAATGGTTAATTTTCATAACGAATATACAAAGTACATCACCTTAATAATAAAAAAAAAGCAAAAAATAACTCACAAAATACACAAAAAAAAAAAAAAAAAAAAAAACAGAAACAAATTCTGGTAGAAGAAAAGAGGTAAAATTAGTTACTGCCACCAGAGACATATCGGATAAAGGTATTGCAGGCAACCACAGGCCACACGCACTCCATTTATGGACATCTTAGCACACAAAAATTCTGTTTCTGAATGCTAAACAATAAATTCATTTTAATGCTAAGAAATCTTTTGCTCAAGCTAAGTAACATGCTGGATAACTATGTTAATAAAAGAGAGACTTCAGAAGGAAACTAATTCTTCCCATTAGTGCGTGGACTGGAAACAAAATTCTGTTCTGTGGCAGTTCATACAGCACCAAGTCTGCCTCATTGTCACCCTGAGCAGGAGAAGCCCAGTCAGTTTAAACAGGCAGTCATGTGCACACTTTCATCTTCTGCTCATTTGCCTTTCAAATAATCCTTTCAATAATCCCTTCATAACACTGGAAGAAAGACCTGAAATATGAGATCAATAGTCACTGACATAGGTGTGGATTCGAGTTGGTTGTCGGTTTTACTGAGATCAAAGCGGACTGGATTTTATTCAAATATTACAGCAAAGTGGACAGCGATCTAATTTAGCTCAGGTGGTTTTCTTGATTAAGTTTGAAACGTTATGCTGGCAGAGCGATAGTGTTTTATGCTCACTTTGTTTGGGACAATAACAAATTTGGGTTAATGCTGGTACTTAAATCTAAATTCTTTTCAGGGAAATTGTTATTTGCATATCCGCTTTTTTCAGTCTTTGTTTTTTTGATGAATCAGTGTAATACAGATGATAATTCTGTTTTGTAGTTGTTTTGCATGAGAGAGGGCAATATTGCAGTGTTTTGTTAGTGGGTTTAATTTCAACATAACAAATTAATTAAAAAGAACAATTATAGTCTTTCTATTTACATGATATTATTTTTTGCTGTTCTGTTACCTACAGGAGAGTGTCAGCAACTCTGTTTTTATCATCTGAACAATCTACATTCTTACAAATCTCATGGTTTTTCCCTCTCCCTCCCCTCTCTGCTCCCTACCCACCTTGTTTGGGGCTTTTTTTATGTATCGTTTAGAAATCTGGTTGGATTGTCAGTCTTGAAATTACTGTGGGAAAAAAAAAGTGTTAGCCTCAAGAATAGCATTTATCTCCACTACCCGTAGTGTGGTGTTGCATGGAAAATGCATTTCTGAGTGTCTTAACAGCCAACTCTATCACCCTCCCCTGTCCCTAGGCTGGACTGCAAGCTCCGTCATCTTCTTTTCTGTTAATTTAGGTGCCTATCTGACTCGGTGAGTTCAGTTCAGTTTGTTAATTTGGCCAAAGAAAACCCCAAAAACACCTAACTAAAAGGAGAAGGATTCTGCAGGTTTACTGAACTGAATTGGTTTACAGGCAGCAATGAACCATTATATCTTCTCAGTTGACCCACCCTGAGGAGAAAAGGAGAAAGAATAATTCATCCTGCGTAAACACTTCACTTACATAAATGCTGAGTATCCTCCTCCTTGCAATCAGGAGATGATGTTATGTTTGGTGATCTTTTTTTTAAAGAATCTCAGTTCAGATAGTTTTCACACCTCAGCATCTGAACAGTTGTACTCAGCAGCACTTGTCTATCTAACCTCTGCACCAGGGTGACAACATGGCATTGGAATTTTAACACCTGATTTCCTCTCTAATGCTAGCTTTGATCTTCTACCATTCAACCTCTACTGATATAACTTCTGCCCCCACTGTTGTTCAAGTATAAAATGAGGGGTTAAGAGCTGTAGATTTCCTTGTTATGACTCCACATATGAGGGAGGCATGCTGAGGAAATACTCATACCTTTGTAGCCCTATAAATTGCTTCTTTCAAGAGCTGCCAGCAAAAACTCATTATGCAATCTCAAAAGAATAAAAATTCACAATGTGTAAAAAAATAACTCTAAATAAGATAGCACTAAAGTTGATGTTAACCAGCTGAAGTTAATCAAACATGAATAAAACTGAAGTATAAATGCAGGAATAAATGATAATGGCCCAAGTTTCATAACTTACTATCATTGAAATTTTCTATGACACTTGTTTTACTTTAGACAGCAGAGCTATAAAAATGCCATTTTAGATTGTGATCTTTTTAACATTTCCCAGAAGATAAATACCTCTATGAAACATTGCGTCTGTATATTTTTTCTTCTGTTCTCACTATTTACAAGTCTTGTCTTTAAAATTCAACTTAATGTAAATGGAAAAGTCATCATGACAGATTTCTGTCATTTAAAAAAAAGATAGTATCAGTGAGTTTTTATATTATTTCTTTAAAAAACATTATTAGGAGGGAAATAATAAATGTGTCAAAGAAGACAAATATCAGGGAATGGAACTGGGCTTAAGGAGAGGTTGAAGAGGAAGGTGGTTAAGAAATAAACCTCAGAGTCGTTTAATCTTTCTCTTTCTTATCTGAAAAAAAATGAAGAGGGTAACAGTATTTCATAAGACTGGTCAGAGGATAAATATAAACTACAGTGTTGTCAGACACAGTATTAATAAGAACGGAAATAGAATTAAGAAGGTTAATGTAGACTGTCTTAGGATCAGAAAAAACAACTGAATCCAGAGAACATAGCATTGGTTTAATAGGGAACTTTTAATTTATCTTTGCTTTGTAAACAAGTCTATATTATCTATAGCTTCACATATTTTGAACCTGATCACAACCTAAATACATACTCATGAAACATTACAGGGTCAAACATCATCAACAAACATATCAAACATTCTAAATTTCAATTTTAACATGACGGTTTCAATTTGAAGCATCCTAC